TCTCTTTCCCACATCACCTCCAATTTTTCTTCTCACTGGTAGAACTGAGTAGCAGAAGGTGCTTAGCCCAAACCAAACAAAAACCCTTTGCTGTACCACCACTGCAATGGGCATTGGGTTGAAACTGTCTCTTGGGAGAGACAGCAGCCAGCTGGAAGTGTATTTGCCAACAGCACCATTGGTCATCAGCTGCTGGTAGCCTAAAGCAGCCCATTCAGAGAGCTAAAATTGCATCTGGTTTCATAACAAGGACTTCTCTGTCATCCCTATCACTTTGACCCCCACCCCTCTAAAAAAACCCAACCCATTCCTTTGCCCCGTGATGAAGGATGAAGTGGCTCTGAAAAAATGACGTGATTTGCCGCTTCCTCCTGTGAGTCCTGCTAGCCACCTCCTGGACCAGCCTTGCTCTGTAGCAGACCATAAACAGGATCTGCAGCTAAGGTGGAGGAGAGGGAAAAGCTGGAGGAAAAGGGGAAGGCAGAGAGGCTGCATACCTCGAAAGCCAGGGCTACTCCTGCTTCCCACGGTGGAGGCACCACCTCAGCACCAGACCGGAGTAACTGAGGGAGAATCTGGCTCTTTGGATTTAACAAGCTCACTTTCCTTTAATTGGAGCCCTCAGGCACTACTGTAGTGCACCTAATAGCACTAATTATTAATGAACCATCCCTGATGAATAGGAAGGCTGAAATGGCCTCTGTCCTCTTGGGTTGTCAGCCCTTCACAGAGCCTACTGGATTTGACTGGGTAGGAAAGAAACTGCACAGATTTAAATAGGGCCCTGGCAAGGAAGGGGCCTGAGACAGTCACATATAGAATTGTCCCTAGCTTGTGCAAACTAGCCAGACACCAACAGTACCTTGTTCCTTCTTCTGAGGTGTAAACGTAGCCACTGGAAAAACCTGCAAGAAATTACTACTGTGCCTTATTTTTGTACCACCCCTCCCTGCTCCCTCCATAAGGACCAACTTGTTTGCCCTTGCTACTTTTCAGACAGCTTTTCCTCACTTTTGTGCATCCTGGCTCAAGATTTGGCTCCCAGCACAGGCCCGCTCCTTCTCTCTGTTACAGCCTCTGAACAGGAGCAGATGGGAAAGGGACCTTTTTTGTTTTGTTTCCCTTTAAAGCAAAAAAATAATAATCGACTGCCAGCCAGCACCTCAGCCCGGTGCTGGCGCAGTCTCCCCGCGTCGCAGGGCAGCCCAAGGCGGGGAGGAAGGCACTTCCCTCCCTCCAGGGCCCAGCCAAGGCTGCTGAAAGGTGGAGGCTGGTGAAGAGCAGCCGCTTGCCGGGCAGGGTTCACCC